TTGCAGGCTCAATCCCCAGTCTGGGTGGGTGTGGGAGGCAACCAATGGATGTGTCTCTGTCACATGGATGTTTTCCTACTCTCTCTCTCTCCCTCCCCTCTACTACTCTCTCTAAAAAATGGAAAAAATATCTTCAGTCTTCAGGTAAGGATTAAAAAAAAGAAAAGCAGGCTTGCCCTGATGGATGTGGCTCAGTTGGTTGAAGCATGGTCCGGTCCACACCGGCGGACTGGGTTTGATTCCCAGTCAAGGCACATACCTAGGTTGTGGGTTTGATCCCCCATCAGGGCACATACAGGAAGGCAACCGTTCGATGCTTCTCTCTCTTACAGCTCACTGTTCAGCTTGCTAGACCTTATGGTCTCATTAGATCTCTGGGGTACCCTCCCCATGGGTCTAGCCACCCACTTTCCATTAACTTAGTTTCCCCGATCTTTCCCTGCTGAGATGAAGAAGTCTGCCAATGGTAAAACAATGATGCAATTCAAATGTTACATAGTAACACATACCCCCACCACATGTCCTCATGCCATGTGTAAAATGATTTCTCTTTAAATTTCCCACGTTAAACCTGCCACTAAAACATATGAATTGAAAGCCTACTTGATATATCCTCAAAGTGAGCAGGGTTAGAAGAGACCTATTTATCCTACTTATTCCACCTGCTGTTACAGACTTTGATATCATGCTGCCTCTGTGTTTTGAAGTCATAACTGACCCATACAATCAAAATTTCTTGGGTCAACAATTAAATACTTGCTTTAAACTTTCTGTTAAAGTAGAAAAACCCAGAGCACAATTTCTATAGGATATCAGGATAGTCATAATGATAATCTGGCTTGATGTGAATATGGCAATTTTCCTTTATCTCCCTGGAAAGACAGCCAAAAATGCTTAAATCCCCAAGATGGTAATAAGGGTATAACCTAAGGCTATCAGTTCAATTTGTGCAAGCACTAATTATCTGCAACTAAATGTTAGTTTCTTTCCTTTCAGTTCAGAAATATACCTTTAATAATTCTCTTCATTAGCTAGGAAGATCCATATGCCTTAATCCATAAAGAGGCTTGCTATAACCCAAATGTTTGTCTTTTTGTTCAGGGTAAAAGGGTTTTTTTTTCCTGATGTTACCAACACATTCAATATCATGCACAGGAGATTATGATTTACAAAACCATGGTTATCATCAATAATGCGCAAAATAGAAACACATTTCCCTGCTACTCAGGAGAAAATACTAGGCTAAGCCCAGCATATGAATTTTATTGCTTCTCTGAGTACTTCTTTTAAAAAATGTTTTTATTGATTTCAGGGAGAGGAAGGGAAAGGGAGAGAAACATTAATGATGAGAGTCATTGATAGGCTGCTTCCTGCAGGCCCCCGACTGGGGACTGCGCCTGCAATCCCACACGTGCCCTGACGGAAGTGCACCCATGATCTCCTGGTTCACGGGTTGATGCACAGCCACTAAGCCACACCGGCTGGGCCTCTGAGTACTTTTAATTTTAGTTTTCTTTGCAGCAGCAGTAGATGGCTGGAGCCAATTTTAGATTTTAACTCCCAGTCTCTAAATGGGGCCTTTCATACTCAGAGAGTCAAATTCTCCTTTCTACTACTAAAATGTGGTTTTCCGGTATATTTACCCCATTACCATTCCTGCCCTTTAATTCGCTGAGGTGCAATTTACATGTCACGTAGCCATTTTAAACCACAGAAATTGGTACAGGCCCTCTAAGCTTCTACAAAAATACCTGATTTAAACCTGAAAATCCTGCTCAGTAATTCTAAAACCAATGTAAAGTACTATGAAACATAAAATATAAAGTTGAACCAATATCACATAAAATTTAATAATTGCAAATGTATTTATTACAATTTACAGATTAGTTAAATTATATACACAAATAGAGTTTTACTATAAAACCCAACAAACACTACATTTTTTTTACTCACTGGTCCTGTAGAAGCCAATTCAGAGGTCTTCTAATCCTCTACATTCGCCTTCCTTAAATTATAAAAAAATAAAATCTGACAGTTTTTATTTTCACTTAAAGATAAAGAGGTGCTGTTACTATATTTCAACACTCAAAAAGTGAACTTTTACCTGTCTGTACAAAGCCTTTCATATGCTACACTGATACTTAAAGCACCACTGCAAGACTTTAAATGCATAAAATGTTTGATTAAAATCTCCAAGGACTTTCTTTTTTAGATGGAGGTTTAACTTTGTTCTAACAACTAGGATTGGGATGAAACTAACAAGAACTGTTCTCCTTCAATCCAATTTACAAATGGTGCCTTCAGTCCTTCTGACTGTCCTCTGATCACTTCTTGTAAAGGAGGGTAGTAAATGGGAGAATTATTAACCAAGCTGTTACTCACTTGGTAGTGAGGTTGGACTGACAAGGGAACAATTTCCCACAATCCAATTAATGTAAAATATCCTTCTTTCCTAATAGGCAGAGGTGCTAGACTTCAGAAACACAAATCACAACCTAAATCTCTGACATAAAATAGTATACTTCACTCTGGTTTTAAAAGAATGCCTCTGCCCTCTGCACTTTTCAAAAGCTTTTTTCAAGGCAAATAATGCCTTCTTCCCACCTGACACAGCTGGTGCCAGGAACCAGCCTGCTTGCACGGTGCTAAGCATTCCCTATGATCACCTAAAGTGGAGGAGCACAGACACCTTGACTAAGGGCTCTGCAAAAACCTGACCAACTTTTATGTTGTTGTACTCCAGATAGAAATGAAATGATGACCAGGTAGATTATTAACTGAGGTAGTAACCCTGCAAGCACTTTTGATGAAAAATTGTCCCTACCACTGAAATAAGTTCAATTAAGAGGTCATCTATTCTACTCATGTTTTCCATTACCTGTGACAGAAAGCATGGGGAGTAAAAATTGACCATTAAGGAGTTGGTTAACACTCCCTCAACCTAAAGATGCACACCATGTAGAGATACCTAGATAAACCAACCAAAACCTTGGACTCAAAAGCAAACTTTGGGCTACAGATATTAGGACTTTCTAGTTGTTAAATCTATAGTTCTACCCTTTCCTGAAGGCCCTGCTTCTTCATCATTCCTTCTCATTATTAAAATAGAACACAATAAACTTGGATACTGACTGAAGTCTCTATTTCACATTTCAAACTGGAAAATTCAGAAGTGCCCATTTCCAAGTTTACAGTGTCACCCTGGCAGGTTTTAAAAGTGACACAGTGCCGAGGCCTGACATTAATAACACTGGCTTTCTGCTGAGAGCATATACAACAAAACCAAATTGCTCTGATGTCCCTTATCTTCTTCCTAGGAAAATTCTAGGCTTTTAATTAAAAAAGAAAATTAATGCTTATGATGTAATTATTACTTTCTGGTGTCTTTTACAACAATTTCCATCTGTTAAAATATACAAAGAACCATTTAACTGGAAACTACAATAACATATACAGGACCCTCTCCCAAAAACAGTCTGCACAGAAATGAAATATATTAGATGTTAAAATTTTGCAGAAAGATGCAGCTTTCCTAAAGTAACAGGGTACAACATGTGTTGATTTTGTGGCAGTCCTTGGAAATATCTTAGGTAGAACTTAACCTAGAAATAAAAAACAGCCACACATTTTCAGCCCAAGTCATTCTTAGGAGAAGAAAAAAGTGACACAGATAATGTACCTTAAGTTGGTAGCATATGCAAGATTATTTTCTTAGCCTTAGGGTAGAAAGACCAAATCACTGAAATAAGATAATACAGAGAAAACATAAAAGCCCATTAATTTCAGAATGTTGGAGGGAAAAGCCCTGGCTGGTGTGGCTCGATTGGTGGAGCCATACACCAAAACATGGTGGGTTTGATTCCGTCAGGGCACATACCTAGGTTTTGGGTTCAATCCCCGGTTAGGTGAATACCGGAGGCAACAGACTGATGTTTCTTTCTCTCTCTCTCCCTTCCTCTCTCTGGAATCAATGGGAAAAAATACAACTGGGGGGGGGGGATATGCTGAAGGGAAGAAACAAAAAGAGCCCTAAGTTTTTAGACAGGTACACATAATTTAAATTAAAACGGAAAATGGGCTTTGAACCCTAAATTGTTTCCCAAGAAAGTAAGTTATACCTTAAAAGTTATACCTTAAAAGGTTCCCTTTTCACCTCAACAAGCAAGCAACATCCAAAATCACATCTGACCAGATAAACAAACAAGGGAGGGTTAGAAGTCACATCACCTCACCCTTCATTATCAAGGCTTGGCTTCAAATCTGGACATTTCTGAGTGGGCTATGTTACAAAACAATATTAAACAAGGTTGCTGGACCCAAGTTACATACCCTCTAAAAAAAGAAGTCAAAGGACAGCTGCCAACTTTTGTTTTAAAAGAAACCTCTGAAGTGGGAATTAGTGTATTCGAGGGCCACAGGCTATTAAGTCATCTGAACGTGGCTTGAAAACATCAAGTCCTTTGAAGCATGTTTCCTGGAGTCTATGAAACATTCTTTCTCTGTGCTCAAATGTCAAGCAGTATCCAATAGCGTCTTCTGTTTCTTGAATCCGTTTCTGGAACCTGCATCCATCCCGTGCAAATTCTTCCCATGGTCCTTTGCGATCCTCATCACCACTTACATAATACTCAGTAACTTCTTCAAGGAAGGTTACCTATGAAGACAAAGACTAACTTTAACCACTTTCTAGGACCTTATAGTCATCACTGAGGCAGGTAATGAACCCTTTATGCTACTCACTCTTTAAGAATATCAAATATCTTACAGGAATATTTGGTCTCAACTATAGAGCTCTGACTGACTAGATGGCATCTGAATAAAAACCAGTGGGGCCCTGCTGGGTGTGGCTCAACGGGTGAGCCTGGACCTAGGATCCAGAAGATAACAGTTCGATTCCCGGTCAGGGCACATGCCTGGGTTGAGGGCTCGATCCCCAGTTGGGGGCGCGCAGGAGGCAGCCGATCAGCAACAACTCTGTCATCATTGATGTTTCTCTCTCTTCCTCTCCCTTCCTTTCTCTGAGGTCAATAAAGATTAAAAAAAACAACAACACAAAAAATAGTGGGCATTTTGTAATCCACCCTCCCCCTCTTGTGGTTTTTGATGTCAATAAAATAAATCCAGATGGGGAACTGTGATTTTTCCTGATGTTATTACTTAACTTTTTAAAAATCCTTAGTGAAATACAGCTCTGTCATACTCTTCTTCCAAAATGACAAATGTCACCAAACAAAATATTTCAATGCTTTTTTAACACAAAAGCTTTAACAAAATCTTCACTTATTTCTATTCTTCCTTTTTAAAAGAAATTTCACTTGTCAGTGCTTTCCAAAGTTTGAATCATGAACATGTATTATTCTTATATTATTACTTTTGTAATCAGAATACAGAATGGAAATTTACTTAATAAACAAAGTGCAACTAAATTAACATCTCTTTAGGGCTAAGTTACTATAAAAGATTTTGTAGTTAAGATAAAAACCCTCCTTTTATTCCTCCTCAATATGCTATCACTATATACAGGGTGTCCCAAAAACATGTATACACACTTTAACAGCTGGTAGCGCAATTGATGTTTCTTTCTTTTCAGGTAGACTAAGCTTTGAACAAAGGAAATTCATCTCAAAATGCTACTGGAAGTTTGAAAACACAGTTGAAGTACAAACACCACCTTTATAATCATTCAAAGTGTGTATACATTTTGTGGGACACCCTATATACATGAAATTGTGAATATTATCATATACATGGTCATATGTAATGGGTGACAGTCCCTGTTAATTCCTACTTAATATTTCAAATATAGAAGTTTCTTTGTAAAATATCAAACACCAAAAGTAAATAGGTACTTGCTTTTAAAGTACGTTCAACAGTTACATCAGCTAACCCCACTGTGGCCTACTACTTTCATTCCCTTTACATCAGGCCAACGAATGCCCCCGAGGACAATTAGTAGGCATGTAAACCCTTACTAGATATTGCATTCTAGTGTCACTTATTCACTGTCACTAAGATAAGTAACATTTACATAGTGTTTACCATATACCAGGCTCTTTTCAAAGCACTCTACACAATTTTTATCTCATTTAATCCTCACATCAACCCTACAGGGTACTATTATCATCTCAATTGTACAGATAAAGAAACAGACATAGAGAAGTTAACCGACTTGTTCAAATCACACAGCTTCCATGTGGTATAAACAGGATTCAAACCCCAAGTCTGGCTCCACAATCTGTACTATGTTATGCATTTTAAACTCCTAGATCTAAGAGCTTCATTTTCAGCATTAGGCACTACCGATTATTTTCATATACCTAAAGAACAGCAAGTAGTCAAAGTCTGTCAAATAATTTAACCATATTTTAGACATAATAATTTATAAACCTTGTTTCTAGTTCAGTCACTAATCTCAAACCTCTTGACTCATTCCATTTTTACTCAATGAGCAGGCTAAAATGAGACAAGCAAACTGGTCTGACGTCCCTGAGTAACAGCTACCATTTAAAGGCAAGACAATTAGGAGTTTTATTTACTCATCTCATTTGAATCGTGCAATAACTCATACGGTGGTATTATTATTATTATTATCCCCATCATATAAATGAGTTCAAAGGCATGAGAGGTCAAGTTATTTCCCAGGGTTGGCTGTATTCCCACATCTCTTGGCCCTAACCACTCAGAAGCAGGGAACACAGGTCTCCAGGTGCCAAGTGGCCATTCCATTGCCCAACTGTTTCTTACCAAATTCACTAAACAGGTCATTGAGTCAGGGGCCCCTTAAAAAGATAGAGGAGCCCGGCCGGCGTGGCTCAGCGGTTGAGCATTGGATCCAGGAGATCGAGGTTCGATTCCGGGTCAGGGCACATGCCCGGGTCTTGGGCTCGATCCCCAGCAAGCAGATCAATGCCTCTCTCACTGATGTTTCTCTCTCTCTCTCCCTTCCTCTCTCTGGAATTAATAAAGACATATTAAAAAAAAAAATAGTGCTGTTTTAAAAATAAATTAAATAAAAAGAGAAAAGCTCTATTATGATGACATTTACATAAGTGCATACTAAAATTTAATTTTTAACATGACTTATTTTGCATCTACAGTTAAGACATAATAAGACTGACACATTTAAAGACATTTTTCTACCCCAGGAATAGTTTCAAAGTACTAAACTAGACATTTAGAGCCAGTGGGTGAGGGTACTCTCCACTGGAAACTCCCCAATGCTGCAAAATCTGAGGTCAATAATAATTCATCACCCCTTTCTCTGTCCACATAAAGGTACAGGTATCTAAAGAAACACTTTTCTTGTACAATAAAAGATATCCTATCTGTTTGGAGAGGATTTCTCTCCAATGAATAACTTTAGCTAAAAGATAAAATGCTACAAAAAGTTTTACGACTAGCCTGGGAATAGAAAACAACTACGTAAGATAAACCAAATAGTAACCATCACTGTTTTACATGATTATTGACCTGCAGTTGACTAATGATAATTAGTATTGCATTCTTAAAGGCAATACTATCTCCTGTGTTGTTTCTGAAGAGCAATCAAAATCATGTACAGGTCACGGAGTTTTTAATACTGAAATTATTTCCTTTCATGGGAAAAAACAGATAAATCTGACATGCTCCTTGGTCCAATCATCCCTCTGGGTTCAAATGGATAGGAATGAAGACACTTACTATGACATACCATATTTAACAACATTTTAAAACTCTGTTGCTATACCAGGGCCTTCTCAATCTCCAGAAAAATTAAATCATGTATACACAAAGTTTAATTTTTCTGTTCCTTAAAAAAGAGTGCAAAGTTGAAGCTTGGAGGGATATGGCTCAGAATTGCCAACTCAAACGAAAATGGCACTTTCCTGCTAACATCTGTTGTATACTGGCATCTCCTATTTGGACAGGAACAACACTCGACTTGAAAAGAGGGGGTCATTTCTCAATCCAAGGATATAGACTTAAGAAGCTTAGAGGCCTTCTTCAAACATATGCACTATCATGCCTCCAGAAAGGTCATGCTGCTATATTTAACCATATCAAAACAGTCTGTGCAAATAATCAGGCAAGTTAGAAGAAACAAACCAACCTTTTTTTTCTTGATATGCGCATGTTTTTCTCCAGAAAGAACCCCACCCTGTACCAAGTCTGGACATTCACTGTCTCGGCTCTCTAACAGTTGCACCTTACAGGAAAGTAGGGAGTGACACTCAGAAATGGCCACAATGGGCTCAAGTGGTGTCTCTGAGTCAGGACAGCCTTTCCCACTTTTCCCTGATGTTTGAAAAGGAGCCTTAAAATTTAAAAGGTTGTAGGGGTCATCCGAATTACAGAAAGAGTTCCACAGCTTGAGACTCTCTGCTTCATCTGCACTAGACTCCCAGTCATCTTCCGCCCCAGAATTAGGATCAGGAGACTCAGGAAGGCTTCCAGTCTGGAGAGAATTCTCTAGATCAGACTTGTCAGACAAATCCTTCTCTGAATCAGAAGGCTCTCCAGGAACAATTCTGGCAGCAGTCTGAATGGCTGCTGTAAAGTTTTGGGGATTATAAGGATCTACACTGTAGAAAGAGTTCCAAAGGTGAAGCCCTTCAGAGTCCTGTTCAAGGTCTGATCCTGACAGTGAGCTATCACTATCAAAACCATCATCCTCAGCGTCCTCATTCCAGTCCTCACCTTCTGAATCAGAACTGGTTTCAAGGTCACTGGGTGCACCTCCCAAAATGTAATCTATCAGTTTGTTACTACAGGCTGGTCTGGCAGAAATGGGAAGGTCGTCTTCTATGTCTGAGAAGTCAACTACACTTATTTGGTCTTCCCCAGGCTCTCTTTCCATAGGTACCTCGCAAGATGGACAGCTTTCCAAAGGGGCCTGTTGTTCCAAAGCAAGAACCACCTCTTTAGTCAATTCTAGTTTTTCTTCCGAGGGCTCCTGGGCCGTTCCGGGAATGGCTCCAGCAGGGGGAACACACTCTGTGGGGCTACCTCTGCCCGGCGTCGGATCCATTCCCTGAAGGTTGTGTTCCTCCTCCAGGCTATGGTAGCCAAGATCTTGGTCGGGGGTAGGTAACGCTTGCCCATTGCTAGCCTGCTGAAGGAATTCCAGACGTTTCATGCGAACATGGTGAATTTCTGGCAGGCCTTCTCTTGAAGGAGGCGGACATCCCTGCCAGGAGGAGCAAGTGATCTCTGCATTCAGTGGCTGGGGATGAGAATGGTCCTCAGGCAGACAGCTGCTCTCGGGGCTTCCAGTTTGGAAATCAACTAGCTTGCCACTTCCGATGACGTTCTTGTAGCTAAGTTCTACCCGGGGAAGGCAGTCCAGATAAGAGGGGTTCAGCAAATAGGAGTCAGCGTTTAAGTTGCTTAAGCGATTAATGCTTCGAGGCCCGGAGGAAGACTGGCCAAGTTCCCAGTCGGAGAACAGCCGGGTTTGAAGGCTACTTGGCAACAGCTGCCCTCCCCACAGCTGCTGCTCAAGGAGAAGAGCGTGGGCCGCAGGGTCCAAGGCTCTTCCCTTGGCTTTTAGATCGAGGGACGAGCACTGCCAGGGGATCCCCTCCTCTAGCCAGTCCAGAAGACTGGCAGCTGGGGCGACCGAAGGGTCCTGCGGAACCCAACTCGGAGACTTGTGCAACGCGGGGGCGGCCGGTTTCTCCCGACCCCTCAGGGATCTCCGGGCGCCGTAGCCGCCAGCGAAATCTAGCCATCTGGTCGGGATCATCTCACCGAAAAGCTGGCTCCAAATCACCAGCTTCTGAAGCAGGCTGGGGAGCGGCGCGAAGAACTGGGGAAGCAGCTTCGTCCAGTAGCTAGTCCGAGCCTCAGGCCGGGGGCAGGAACCCGGTTTGGGGTCCCCGGGGTGCTCTGCGGCAATGCCTGGTGGCGAGCGCCGAGGGAAGAAGGACAGCCGGAGCGGGGTGCCCGCCCGTGCCCGCGGCAGGTTGGCTCCGGGCTCCATCGCCCCTGCTCTTGGCAGCGTCTCAGCGAGGTGCGCGGGCTGGCAGCTGGAGCTCGGACGGGGTCCGGGGAGGCCTACAAGCTCCGGGCCCGGCCTCGCGGCGGAGTCGGCGCCACACAGCGGTCCCTGGGGCGGCAGCAGAGCCACAGAGGGCGGCGGCCTCGGCAGAAGGCAGCGGATCGCAGTCCGGAAATGCCGGCGCAGAACTCGGCGGCCGCAGTGACGGCGATACCCATCCCGGCGGGAAGGCCGCGTCCTAATCCGCTCGAGGCCTCCTCACCATACAGAGGCCTCTCGCGGTGGCAGCTCCACTCCCCCACCCAGGGCCGGCCGTTCAAAAGCCCCTCACACCGCGCTCCCGGAAGGGCTGCGCGCCCAGCAGACGGCGCGAGGACGAACCCAGCTCAAAATGGCCGCAGGGCCAGCGCCAAGGCCGGACATCCCCAGGCAACCGGAAGGGGACCAGGAGGCGGCTGATACGCCACCAACCCCGGGCCCCTGAACATCACTAGCGGGCGGGCCCTTCCGCGTTCTCCCGGCGGCTGCCGATTGGCCTGGCCGGGCCCCTGGAGGTGCCCTTTCGCGCTGCAGACGCGGCCGGGCGCGGGAGGTTGCATCAGCCGGCCGCGCTCTGCGCGTGCGCACTCGCGCCTCCGTGGTCTCCTAGGAGACCGCCCCGCCTCCGCCCTCTGGTGGAAAGCGAGCAGTTCCAGGTAGCCGCCCAAGGCCCCGCGCGTGTACTCCCAGCTCAGGCTCGCGCATCTCGGGGTTCAGCGTCAGGCAGATCGCCACGTGAGACCTGAGTTTGATAAGCGCTGGGCAGTGCTGCGTAGGGCAATGCTGCTCTTACGAATAATCAATAACTAGTGAAAAATGGCAAGTGAAAAACGAATTATTCTTATGTATGCGTTCCTGCCCCCTCGATTTTAGCATTTCTAAGTCATTCTTTATCTTTGTCTGGAGTCCAGATTTGCGGTTTTTTCAGCGTCCAACCCACGTACATCCCCCACGAAAATGCGAATTCCTGTTCCTCAAGTGGGTCCCAATTAGACTTTCCCTTTTCAATGGGGCAAACGGCAGTCACAGAGGAAGAAAGAAACACAGCCTCCAGAACTGTTTAATCTCTTTACTGCTTCGCAGAGGCAATGCATTCAAGTCATAATCATATCCTGAACCCCCAGAGCTACAGGATACAACATCCAAAGGAGAAAGCATAGATCATTAACCATTTGGGGGGGAAAAAAACTTGTCTGATCATTTTAGCTGCTGTATTTCATTCTCTTGTGAGTTTGGTCTTAGTTCATCTCCTTATTCCTGCTAAAACGTTTTCATCGACACCCGTAAAGTCAAGTATCTATTACAGAGGGAGGGGAGCAGGTCTGAGCTCTAGGGACAGCAGGAAGCCTTTGGAAGCCAGGAGAAGCCAGCAGCTCTTCCTGCTTCATCGGGACTGCGCAACCAACAGCTACTTCTTTCTAGAAAACTAAGAGGTCCTCAATCTCTATGGTTTTACCCCTTATTATGTTATACATTACCTCTGCATATATCTCATTTTCCATCCTAAGAACTTCAGAAGGATGGGTTAGTAATAGGAGTCAGTTCAATAATAGGAAAAGAAAGAAATCCAAATACGCACATTAACAACTCAGAAGCCTCAGTTTCTTCTATTGTAAAGTAAGGCTAATAATTTCTCTTTCAATGGGTCAGTGAGAGAACTAAATTCTTAATACAGAGCCTGGCCTAGATACAGTAGGGGAACAACTGCCTTGTCAGTCTTGGCAGGTAAATAAAGTGGGAACCAGCCTCCTCTAGCCTGCTATCAGCCGGAGGCAGAGGCAGAGGCAGGGCGGCTGTCCGCAAAGATAACATGTTGCTGTGGCTGTGCACACGCTGTGAAGACAAGTCCTTGGGCTGGAAAGCTGACTGGCACTTTAGCAGCAGATAATTTAAACCTCAATTATGTTTCTTTTAAAAGATTTTGCTGGGCCTGAGGTAAAGGGTGTATAGTTTTTACTTCATTTTTCAGAGCTACTGCCACCTCCAAAATCTTTTTTCCAAGCATTGCACACTCTGGACTCCACCCCTTCTCTCTCTAAGGCACTGCCCTGGCACCACCACTCAGTGACTTATAAACCCCCAGAACCCTCAAAACCATTGCCATTCCCACTGTTTCGTGATTCATCCCCGCTCACCTCCCTCTTTAATAAGTGTAAATTCCCTGATCTAGCATTAAAAAGACCCCCTTGCAAAGAACCTTTCATTCTCCTGCCATTCTCCTGCTCCAACGTCCTTTTGTGGCAAAATTCCAGCCTTAGTTAAACCCAACTATGCGCTTACTCTGAGCCCACGCTCCTGCAGCTAATCAGTGCTGGAGGAAAGCACTCAACTATGCTGCCTGTTGTACCTCATATCTGTGACCACAAATTTCACCAGTGCCAGGTACTCCCAGAGACAGCCATCTCCACAGTAGCTTTGTTTCTCCTACACTGAGACTGCTTCACATGTTTCTTTATATTTCCAGGACGCTCATAAATGCACATTCTCAGCTATGATCATACCTCTTACTTCACTGAGAAAATAAATGCAATTGGACATAAATAACCTCAGTTTTCCATCACCAAATTCACCAGTCTACTTACATCTGGACCCACACACTCTGCCTTCGATCCCATTACAAGCACAGACGCTTCCTGGGTCCCACCCCTCCATGTCTATTCATGGAGTTCTTCTTTCCTTTATCTTCCTTTATCCTTTCCTGTAACTTATAATTTTCTCAAGCTACTCTCTCATAACAACATAAGTTAACATCACCTATCTTAAAAATAAAAAATAAGCCCTAGCCAGTTTGGCTCAGTGGTTAGAGCATCGGCCTGTGGATTGAAGGGTCCCGGGTTCAATTCCACCCCAGGGCACATACCTCAGTTGCAGGCTTGATCCCCAGCCCTGGTCGGGGCACATGCGACAAGCAACCAAGCAATGTGGCTCTTTCACATCGATATTTCTCTCTCTCTCCCTCTCTCCCTTCCACTCTCTGAAAAGCAATGGAAANAGGGCACATGCGGCAAGCAACCAAGCAATGTGGCTCTTTCACATCGATATTTCTCTCTCTATGCCTCTCTCCCTTCCACTCTCTGAAAAGCAATGGAAAAATATCCTTGATGAGGATTAAAAAAAAAAAAAAAAAGCTTAAAAAAATAAAAAATAAAAAACTCTCTCTCTCAAAATACATGACCCTCCAAATTTCTGTACCACTACCGCAAAATTTGTCAAGACTTATCCATGCTGATGGTCTCCATTTTCTCATCATTTCTTCTCTTTAACTTGCTCCAATGTGGCTTTCATTCCCTCCACTTATTCAAACAGATCTTAACAAAGTCACCAAAAGCATTTTGCCAAATCTTTTTCTGTCATGGGTTGAATTATACTCCCCTAAAAGATGTTGAGGTCCTAATCCCCTAGTCACAGTACCTGTGAATGTGACCTTATTTGGAAAGGTCTCTGCAAGTTCAGATGAGGTCATTCAGGTGGGCTCTAATCCAGTATGACTATATCCTTATACAAGGGGAAATTTTGGACACAGACAAACGTGCACACACACAGGAAGAAGACCATGGGAATATGAAGGTAGACACTGGGGGGATGCTTCTACAAGCCAGGAATGCCAAAGATTGCCAGCAATCCACCAGACCTACAAAGAAGCATGGAGCAGATCCTTCTCAACCCTCAGAAGGAATCAACCCTGACAATACCTTGATCTTGCATGTGCAGACTCCAGAACCGTGAGAAAAGAAACTTCTGTTGTTTGAGCCACCCAGTCTTTGGTACTGTTTTAGCAGCACTAGAATATTGACAATACTTATCTTTAGGCTCCATGACACCAATCTCTTGGTTTCCCTACAATTCCAGTGGCTCCTCCTCCTCTAAATGTCGGCCTGCATCAAAGCTCAGTCCTCCCATGTCATTTTTTCTAGCCTCTCTAATCTAGGTGATCTTCAATTTCCTGGCATTAAATGCCACCTAAGTGCTGATGGCTTCCATATCTAAGCCCCAGACCGACCTGTCCCTTCTCTGTTTTGTCCCTGAGACACTGCACTGCAATTACTTGTGCCCACGTCTGCCTCCCTGGCTGGACTGAACTCCTTGAGAACAGGACCCACGCCTTCATCATCTTAGAAGCCAGAGCCAGGTCCTCGCCTGACCCAGAGAAGGATGTCAGAGTTGCTTGTTGAGCAGACACCTCACACAAGTCCCAGCACCACAATGACCTCACAGCTTAAAATGCTGCCTCACTTTTAATCTTGCCAATCGAATCTCTGTCCTCCGAATCGCAAGTCGGGTTACTTCGTATTTGCCACCTCTCTGAACTCAGAGAACCTGGCCTCCTGGGCTTCATTTCTCTCCTCCCCAGGCAACCCCATTCCCCATTTTCCATTCCCCAACTCTCTCATTTCCACTCCCTCAGCGTGGTTCAAATTTCTACCCATTTGGCCAAGAAATTTCCTTTAACTAAGACTCTTGCCATATTCAAGTTATGACTTTGAAAAGGTCCACTGGGACTTGTCCGCTATTGCAGTGACACCTCAAAACCAGAGAAACCCTGTTTGCTACTGAAAATCCCTTGGCAGCTTCACAAAATTTCCCAGCATGAAACATGACTCCCCCTGGAGAGTTTTGGAAACTTCTGGGTACAATGTTTGAACAAAGATCACAGCACCTTCATGTTCTATTTGAGGGGGTTCAACTCTGGGCTACTGCTCTGCTCTCATGGCTTAATAGCTGCAAACTCAGAGGTCCGGTTTCCTCTCTCATAAAATATGCTTGGTTAAATATCACTAGGCAGTGAAACTTTTTCAATGTAGAGGATTATCTTAATTTATCTTTTAACCCTCAGCCTGGTACCTGGTACCTCACCTGGTAGAAGACCCAGTGCACCACCCAAGGCCGGTCTGCCTTGAGAATGGAGGACTGCTAGGTGAACTAGGCAGCAATGGCAAGTGCACTAAATATCTGGTGACAAAACTAATGAATAAGCCATATCTACTTCCCAGGATAGTTGTAATGAGAAATGACATCATATATATTAAAACACTCTGAAAACTAACATATTATGCCAATTTAAGGGGTTATATTTAACATGGCCTAGAAGGGGAAGCACAAGATTTGGAGTCAAGCCCCACCCGGTTTTGCTCAGTGGTTACAGCACTGGCCCAAGGAGTGAAGGGTCTTGAGTTTGAGTCCGGTCAAGGGCATGCACCTTGGTTGGAGGATGGATCCCCAGCCCCAATAGGGGTGCGTGAGGGAGGCAACCAATTGATGTGTCTTTCTCACATTGATGTTTCACTATCTCTCCCCCTCCCTTCCATTCTCTCTAAAAAAAATCAATGGAAAAAATATCCTCAGGTGAGGATTAACAAAACAAAAAAAAGATTTGGAGTCAAATAAACTTGCTTTCAAATTCCAGATCCAAGACTGACTGGCTGGGTCCTTAGGCAAATTCCTTAATTCCAATAAGCTTCAGGTTCTTCATGTGTAAAATGGGGATACAATACTCACCTGTTGTATCAAGTTGCTGACAAATGTGAAACGTCTAGTGCAGTGCACCAGTGTATCTAAAAGGTACCATTTGTAAACCATTAGTATTATTTTCCTCTTGTACACCAGATGCTTACATCACACATTTAAACATCAATCAATCTTGAAAATGATAGTTTTGCTTTCCTCAAATGACATTTATTAGAAAATACAATTCCAGAGAAAGTAGGAGATACAAGGACATCTGGAAAGTGGGTACAATACACAGACCTCTTTAAGTCAAGGGTGTAGAGGGTCAAAATAAAATGAGCTACAGGCAACAAGCCAGTAACACATCTATGGTCCATTCATCTGGAGAAGTCCACTCCTGTTCCCCACTTCCCTAGCCCCTCCCCGCAGCAGCCAGCTTTATCCTTGGCATTTTTAATTTAAAAGTTTAAACTTCCTCACTGTCCTATGGCTTCGATGCATGGAGCTTCTTTCTCCAGTTACGGAATGAGTCAGCAAAAGGGGGAATTTCTGATCCTTGTAGCTGGGGAGGAAGCTGAGGAGTGACAGACAGTTCATAAAGTATCCCCCATAAACTCCGTTCCCCAATCACGAGGCACATCCAGCCAATTCTAGTTTAAAACATTAACATCAAACTCAAAGTCTCTCCCTCTTTTTTTCAAGGAAGATAACGCTCTGGAGTAAAGCGCAAGAATTTCAAGTCCAAGTGGAAGGATATGAGGAGCATTAGAGGTGAGAGACCCAGTCTCTCCCGCCCAGCTTCAGGGGATCGACCGCCGTTCCAATCCAGTCTCCTTAAGAGCAAAGAAAACCACTGGAAAAAAAAACAAAGTTTTGAAAGGACCCCACACCCTTTCCTTCAGATAGGGCATCCCTTTGGCTCCAGACTAAATAGGTTTATGGCCCCATAAAATGAGGGAAATCCTTATAAAAACTGTGACAGAAATAGAAGTTAGGAGAGAAGCAGCATAAAAAGAGTGATGGGTTACGGGAAAGGCCTACCCCAGCAGGCAGCCACATTGGCATCTGCAGCCTAACGGCCCTTCCCAGGGCTCAGATGCCCTTGGGTGAAACGAAATCAAGGGCCGAGGCAGCATTTTATCCCACAGAGAAAAACGAAGGGAGACACCTTCGGGGAAGCAGCCCCAGCGTATTCACAGGGACCTGAGGGCCCCAGAAGGGCGAGAGAGTGGAGGGGTGGGCAGACCTGTTCAGGGCAAGACCTAGCAAAGTAGGCCAAGATGAGAGGAAAGACCCCCGCAGAAGGGCACAGGTCCCTGACAGTCCTTTGCAGAAGCCTGTAAGAAAGGCCCTTCCTTACACACGTAGGTATCACATCTCGCTCTCCTTTGGAGGCAAAGTCAGAAAGGCCCCGCAGCACAGGCCTCAGTCCCCGTGTAGCCATCCCTGCCCCTCCCCAACCTGCCCTTAGAGACTGGGGGCTCTGAGGACCCACTGGGCCCCACCCCAAATAATTCCTATAGAGAGAAAACCAAAAAACAAATCAACACAAACTTAGGGAAAAGTCCAATAAGAACCTTAATCATATAAAAGTCCAAACAGTCTTCCTCTTTTTGACTTCTGAGGCATATGCAAGTCCCTTCTCACAGGGCTTCCTGTCCAGTTAGGACAACATTACTATTTCATTTTTTAAAAATAAAAATAAAGATATCGACCCACCCTTCCCTAAAACGCTACTTCATACAGCCCAACCCACCACATACCCCAAACCAGGCGTTGCTCCCTTGACACAAGGTAAACTTAAAACTTTGCTGCAACCTCACAGCCTCCAAGGGGCTGCTCATCACACCAACTCGAACTCAGTCTGCAGAGGAGGGGATGGCAGCGAGCCTCTCACGCTCCCCGCCTCCTATCGCAGAGGCCCCGTCCACCTGGACAGCAGGGAGGCCTGCCAAGGGCCCTGCCCCTGCACAAGGAAAAGACAAGTCAAGCAGGAAGCGGCCTCTCCCGCAGCTCCTCCACCAGCCTGGGGGCCTGGGCTGGGGCTCTGCAGGGCTCAGGAGGTCTCCTGACTTCGAGATCCTAGTGCGAACCAGCCCGTCTTCTCCTGGGCCAGGTCCAGCTCACGCAGACGGATGTGCACCTCGCCCAGGAGCACATTCTCCCAGAACCCTTGCTCACTCAGCACGCTCAGCTGCAGCTCCCGCTGCTGCAGGTCTCCCTTGGGGATCCCGTCATACACCAGCTGCAAAAACAGACATTGGGGAGAGGGAAGTGGTGAGAGAGGGGATGTGGGAGAGGGAGATGCCTAAGTCTGCGGTCACTTGATCAGCTGAGGCTAACACCACCGCATCCCCAGCCAGAGTCCAAGGGAATGGAGAAGGCACACAGAACCCAAGGGAAGCTTTAAAGAACTTTGTTCTTCAAAGTTCAAGCAGGCCAGTGGCTTTTTAGAGCCACTGCTCATTATTAGCAAACGATCAGTAGGTTCCTTCTCCCCACAGGACAGGGTTCAGGCCACACCCCTGAGGGCTGGAAAACTTTCCACATAAAGGGCAAGACAGGAGACATGGCTTTCCAGGTCATCTAGTCTGGCCTATGTCCCAACTACTCCACCCTGCTGCTGCAACAGAGTGCAGCCACAGACCACCTAGTCCTTCAAGGAATAGGTGTGGCCACGCTCCAATACCACTTTTACAAACCCCTGCCCTACCCCTGCACCTTGACCACACACCATTTCATTGTAGGTGGGGTTGCAGGTTTTCCGGGCCACTTTGGTTTTCTTCTTAGTGGTTTTATGAGGGTCAGGAAGGAGGTAAATCTTCACATAGGGGTCAGGGTCATTCCCATCCTGGAGTAGTTGCTACAAAGGGAATGAAAACCAAAAAAAGATGAAAATTCTTGTATCTGTCTCTTTGTCACCATTCCTGTGATCACACCATGATCCAGGCTCTCATCACCCACACCTGGCTTCTGGCAATGCATAGTAATTTATTTGGCTGCTTCCCAGCTCATTCCACTTTGATAAAAATATCTATCATAGGCCCTGGTGGGTGTCATTGGTTGGGGACCCTCCCATGCACCAAGGGGTTTCTGGTTCGATTCCCAGTCAGGGCACATGCCTTGATTGGGGGCTCAATCCCTGGTAGGAGACGTGCAAGAGGCAGCCAATCTATGTTTTGCTTTCACATCAATGTTTCTCTCTCTCCCTTTCCCTTCCTCTCTCTCTAAAACTCAATAAAAAATATTTTTAAAAAAATCTACCTTAATGTTAGGTGTCCTACTAAAATATCAATTGGATTGCCTATTATAGCCAGTATATACTTTTTATACAAATGCTCAAGGCATGCCATACTTGGTTTGTTCTGAATCAACGATCATATCCCCAGATATCCCCCTACCTATCCCAGTGTCTCTGTCTATTTTGTTATTTGATCCAAGTAATCCCCTAAGAGGTGGAGAAATGAGTCAGATTAAGTTCTTTGCTCAAGGTCAACCAGTTAGTGATTCACCCAGCCTGGTCCTTTTACATCTTAAATTAGACCTTAAGCCTGTGGACCCCAGGAAGATTGATTCAATGGGAAACCCAAGAAGGAATTTATCTGCTGAGATGGACTACCCATGGTCAATTAAGGGCCCAAATTTTATGACTAATAAGAGCCCAAAGGCCATTTGCTGACGGGCTCCTCATGTCCTCTGTATACCAGGAAGAACCTCAGACCCAACTGTTTCCTGCACTCTGCCCTGCTTATTTACACCAGCTGAGTCAACTATTAAAAGGGTGTTCATGTTTTCCTAAGACCTGCCTGTCCAATCAGAACTGCTCTATAATGACCAATCAGAACTGAATAAGCTGGAAATCTCATTTGCACAAAACTGGAAACTTGGGCAGGAACTTTCTATATAAAAGCTGGTATGGCTCAGTTGGCTGGGTGTTGTCCAGTGTACTGAAAGGGTTAGATTTAAAAAAGAAAAAAAAAGGTAGCCTTCCTTTTCTTAGTGGAGCACAAGTTTTTTTTTCTTTCTTTAAAAAAATTTTTTTAATTGATTTTAGAGAGGGAGGGGAGGGAGAGAGAAAAATCAACGTGAGACAGATACTCTGATCAGCTGCCTCCTGTACAAACCTGCAACCTAGGTATGTGCCTTGACCAGGAATCAAACCCATGACCTTCCTGTGCATGGGATAGTGCTCCAACCAACTGAGCCCCATCAGCCAGGGAAGATAATTTAGATTGCTAACTGAATTTGAGTCTCCCTGGCCGCAGTTCTTTTTGCTCAAATAAATGCTTTTTAATCTTTATTACTCTCTAAAATTAATTTTGGTTTACATGCCTCTGCTCAAAACCCTCTCATGATTCCCATCTCATTCACGGTAAAAGCCAGAGGCCTGACTTTGCCCTCTAGCCAGCTGTGCCCTCCGCAACCTTATCAACCCCTCCCCTCCCCTCCCCTTTGTTCCACAGGCTTCAGCCACAAGAGCCCTTGGAGTTCCCCACACACCCCAGGCAGGTTCCTGACTCTTGGATTTAACTGGACCCTCTGACTGGAACAGTCCTCGGTCAGATATATATGCATACCCTGCCACACCTCCTTCCATCTTTGCTCAAATACCTCCTCATCAATGAGGGCCTCCCTGACCATTCCAAGCAAAACGCCACTACCCTCATTCTAGCCCTGTATTATCTCTCTGCTTTATATCTCCCAAGAGCACTTGCCATATATTTGTCTGTCTGCCTCTTCCTACTGGAATATAAACTCCCTGAGGGCAAGGATTTTGTTTTGTTTACCCTGTACCCAGAGCTACTGCAGCAGTGCCTGACTCATAGTAAACACGAGATCAGGGGTATCATTTGGTCTGGCCCTGTCAAGGCAACCATAGGTGGGACTGGAAATTCAATAAATCTAGGAGCTTTTTTCATAGCTAATTTTTAAGTTGATAATTTTGTATGGCCCTGGAATGATGTTATAAATATCCAAATGGCCCTTGACAGAAAAACGGTTCCCCACCCCTGCACTAGATGAACATTGTTGAATGAATGAATGAATGAATGATGTTGTAAGAGTGAAACCCAGGTTTCTCAAATTCCAAAGCTCATGGTCCTTCTGCCACATACCAATGCCCCAACCTACAAAAGTCCAGCACATTGCAAATATTCAACACAAGTTCCCTTCCCCTTCCACTCACAATGTTCTTAGAATCCTACCAAAAATTTTAGTAATTATATACAGTTTTGATTATACTCCAAGGTGGTCACTCAGCTGCGTTATCTCTACAATCAGGTTAAAAAAACAACTGTGGGCCTCTCCCTTATTATAATCACCATAATTACCATAATAATACCAAGAATTATGTTAAATATTCTACATGTATAATCTCATTAAATGTGCTTAACAACCCTGAGGTAGGTACTAATATTATCTTCATTTTAATGAGGCTCAGAGTACTTAGGCTACTTGCCAAAGACCACAGGTGGTAAGAAGCTGTGTCTAGTGTTGTTTGGTCATACCCTATGCCGGGCACACTAGCAGGCCCACTGGTGGGTACCCAGCAGCCCTGTGGTTACTCTCATGAAACATGGGCAGAGAGCAGGACTGACCAGTCAGAAAAGCTCCGGGAGGAAGCTAAAGAATCACATGAGGACTGTGCATGCACTTACCAAGCCCCGAATATGCATCACCATGATGAAGAGTTTATTGTTTTTGTAGGAGATGGACAGCTTCACCTCCCCTCCCACCTTCCCGACTGGATCGACCCAAGAGCCATCTGTAGGGACAAAGGAAACAGAAGAGAAAGGTCATGAGGCCAGCCACATCCCCATCTGGTTCCAGGCAGATGTTTGTTTTTCTCTGACCCTCCCTCCCCCAATGGTATCTCCATGTTAGGTTCCTGATACCCCCTGGGTGATCTGCCAAGTGGCATCTGTGAGCATGATTTACGGTTGGGTTGGGATGGGTCTATTCAATTTGAGTAATCACCAACTGAATATCCAGTCCCTGGGGAATTTGCACAAAGGGCAATGGACCCCACATCCCGAGTAGGAAACCAGATTCTCTAGCCAGTAAGTAAAGGAACAGAGACAAGTCAAGAAAAGAGAACTGGGAAGAGGTGGGGCAGGAGAAGTTACCCTTGGGAATGGTTCAGAGGGATTGGCAGAAATGTCACAGAGAAGCACTGTACCTGAGGACTTGGGCGCCGGGCTGGTGCCAACGGCCTTCTCATCCCGAGGCAGAGGGTGGAAGAAGGTGTACACCAAATCACACTGGGGTGGAATTGGAAAACAGGGTGGTTCATCAGTAAGACAATGGCCCAATAAAAAAAGGAAAGGGACTGTTCCAGATGAAAAGAGACTTATTAAACTTAACAATCAAGTGTAATATGCAGTTCTTGTTTGAACCATGGCTCAAACAAACTGGCTGTAAAAAGAATTTGGGGGATGAGAGGGCAATTTTGAATAATGGCTATGTATTAGATGACATAATGACACCATAGTTATTTAAGAATATTCCCTTACTATTTAGAGATGCATAGTGAGTATTTAGGGAAAGAATGTCATGTCTGTAACTTGCTATAAAATACTTCATACAAAAATAGATGAAGCAAATAGGGCTGAATACGTTAATAAATACATACATATGCACTCATTATACTGTTTCTCTACTTTTCTGTATGTTTGAAAGTTCTCATAATAAAAAGTTTTTTAAAAAGAAAAAAACAAATAAAACTAGGTCACATCAGGTCAAACGCAGCCTGCTCTTTTCTACCACCCCCTCTCCTGTGGACACACACATACCCCTCAAGCACAGAAATGCCTGACCCAGCCCTGGACAAAGACCAGGAATCCTACTCTGGAGAATCTTCCTGAGTAACTAGGAAAAACAAAAATGTATGAAAATATTCCTTCTAGCATTAATAGCAGGAAAAAATAGACACAATCTAAATATCCTTCAAGAAGTGAATAGTTAAGGAGATAATGGTATTCCAAGTCAAAGTAGAATTCTATTTAAGCTATGACCAGTATAAAACTGCATATGGACAAATAGGAAGGGAACATGGAAATGGCTAGATGATTTGTTAGGGTGATGGGTCTGGTGGCTAGACTTATTTCTGTATGTGGATGAAAAGGGGCCAAATACTAAACCTGACAAGCTCAGAGGAGGCCTGCATGGTGGCCTTGCAAACTCAGAGACCTAAAGTAACCACATAGGATGTTCTGAAATCAAAACTTTCTCACTAAAAGCAGGTCATGGCAGGTAGTCATGTCCTGGGCTGGTATCTTTCTTGACAAAGGTCAATCGTTACCTTACCTGAGCCTGTCTATTGTGTTTGTGCATCTACGATAACATGCCTTTGGAAAGTCCGGGTAATTTCCTTTTTCAGACCCCTTAGGGCACAAGCTCCCACCAGAGCAGGAGTCCACAGATCCCCTCATTGTGTTAATTTGTTAACTGTTAACTATCCTATACTCACCTATGTAAAAGAAATAGGTGTCCATTGGTTTTATTTTTTATCCAATCCCAGAGATTTTCCTCCTGCTTTGCTTTCTCCCGCATCCCTAATCTATCACCCGTGGATTTCATGTAACCCCCTTACATCTTCCCCTTGATTCTGATGTATAAAGTAAGTGGTAAAACTGCCATTTTCCAGAGCATTTTCTCAATTCGTTGAGATTTTTGCTTCCCAGCAATTGTCAGTTTGGCTCAAATAAACTGATAAAAATTCTTATCAGGTTTGGAGATTTCTTATGTTGACAATAATAAATTATAAAAATAATTTATAAAACCATTTGTGTGTTTTTTTAAAAAAAAAATCTAAGTGGGGTTAAGAAATAGCAGGTCCAAGGACCAAAAAAACAAGACTCAATTGTTTCTTGTTTTTTTTTTAATAAAAAGTTTCCACCTTTATAAAATAAGAGGTAGAAGCTGATTGGTTGAATGTGAACCAATCAATGGGAAGTTCCTGATCAACACTAGTGCGGTAATCTGTCAGGCAAGACCCCTTAGGTGCCTGCCCCACCAAGGTGCCCTCACCTGAAAAAATCCCCTTCTTTTGCTAATGACTTTCTTGTCCCACCCTGTTTCTACCTAAAAGACCTTCTATTCCGTACAACTTCTCCAGGCACCTCCCTATTTACTAGATAGGATGCTGCTGGATTCTTGAATGTTCACCACCACCGATGGATTTGGCTGACTTTTTGCTAACAGTGGATACTAACCTAACCTACACACGCAGCCCAGCAGGTAACCTGGCGTAGGCTCACCTTTGTTGAGAGCTTATAACTTTGCCCCGATTAACCTGTAATCCCACTTAGATCACCCTAAACTCTGCGTGACGGTCTGTGAGGCGCTGAAAGTCCCGCTGCTGGCACTGACTTCAGGAACGAGCCCGGGACGCTCTGCGGGGCCGGGACCCTGCTGGCACTGACTTCAGGAACGAGCCTGGGGTGCTCTGCGGGGCAGGGACCCTGCTGGCACTGACTTCAGGAACGAGCCTGGGGTGCTCTGCGGGGCAGGGACCCTGCTGGCACTGACTTCAGGAACGAGCC